AGGCTATATTGGGTCACCAAAATTGATTACACAAAGAGGAGAGGAGAGAGGATACAAGGAGAGAAAGAAAAGGAAGAACAGGAGGAGGAGAAGTATGCGAACAGTGATCTCCTGGCCGCGTCCTTGGATTACACATTCAATCGATGTCTCCTCTCTTTGGGGAGGCTGGGGGGAGAGGGGAGGGGGAGGGGGCAGTGGGGGATGCTTTTTATACACTCTCTTTGAGGCAGGGCTTGCATAGTTAGACGCCATGCGAGAATTGTAATTGGATGATATGTTCTCTTGGCTTGAAGAGCATAAAAGTTCGCTGCTGGGCTTGCATAGNAAGTTCGCTGCTGGGCTTGCATAGTTAGACGCCATGCGAGAATTGTAATTGGATGATATGTTCTCTTGGCTTGAAGAGCATAAAAGTTCGCTGCTTTGTGATATCCATATGTTTGTTTACTTGTGTGTGCTGGTGCAGCTGTGCGCAGAGTGTATAGCTGATCGGCAGTCAACAGAGTTGATCTCAAAACTTTCTTATACTAATGGGGAGATAACAGTTGAGCTACTTCGAGGTACTGAACCTCCGCCGTCGATGCTCTGTCCAGCTGCCATGGGCACCGTAAGTGGGCAGGAAGGGGAGAGGAGATCAAAGCGGGTGAGGAAGGCAACTGCAATGACAGGAGGAAGAGCTGTGCTGAAGGTGTCAGGAACAATGACTGTGTTCGAGCTGAAGATGCTTGTTTGGGAATCTTTAGGGGTGAGTCAAGTGTTGGCCCGCAGTGAATGCATGGCAGCATGAGATCATTCTACCCTGTCATCCCCTATTAGTCAACTTTTCTGGTGAACTAGCCAATTCCGGTTTGCGAATAGAAATGATAATACTGTCATAATAGTGATACCGATGATACTAGTAGTAATGAACAAGGTGTTTCTCGACAACAACAACAAAAAAAGAATCCAGGAACATGAGAGCAAAATATAACAGGAGCTAGGGACTCTAGGCTCAAATAGAATTTCACCGTGCCATATGCAGGAATCATGAACTTATGACTGATTAAGTCCCTGGGTTTGATCTGTTGTCCTACAACTGATGGTCCTCGACGCAGGCCCCATACCTAGTCTACTCGTGTGGCCGCTGTCACTCTCATGACAAGTAGACTGGAGCAGCAGACGCAATTTGCACGCTTCTTTTTCAGATTTTGCCTGCTCTGATTTTGTCTGGGTTAGGACAGTATCGTTTCTAAGAATTTCGACTGCTGGATTTGTCTGGTTTGGGACAATTGTTTACTGGTTCTCCATGTCGGGCCCATTTGAGGCGCAGGGACCTTTTGTCCGTAGTTTGACTGGACCAGGTTTTTCCTGTAGCAACGAGTCCAGTCCTTGCCCTGTCAGGACCGTCCCTGCCGCATCTCTCCTGCCTGGGAACTGCTCAGGATTTCAAGTCAGCACTGCACTGTCTGTATGATTGAGCTTCGATTTCTCTTGGCCTTCTCGCAGTACTGGGCCCGGCTCTCCTGCTTCTCTGTTGTGTGCCCCTGTATGGCTGGATTACAATTTGACATGGCCATCTCTTTGTGTCTGTTCTCCAGTTATGCTTCAAGTCTCCAACTTCCAGCACAGGGAAGGCATGGTATTGTTTCACCATCTTTCTCATCCTCTTTTGTTCTTTTAGAGTCCCAACTGCTCTCTTCCCTGCCATTGCTGCTCCCACCCCTTTTCCCTTGTCCCTGTCGCAATGAAACAGATGCATGTTCCAAAAATCATTTGTTTGTGGCACTACATGCTATGACAAGCAAGGTGACGAGGTGACCCATTTAAACCACCAGTACGTCCGAGCATCTTTGTCCCGACGTGAAATCACATTTTTTTTCTGGCGGCCGCCGTGGTGTGCTCACCACCACGCTGGAACAAATTAGCTGGGAAGCGCTCTGGTGGTTAAAAGGGGGATAACTCCGAACCCTGTTGTATCCGTCTGAGCAGCAGGAGTCAAAACTTGTCGTGTGTTTCCTGACAGTTCCGTGTGAGGTGGCCCTTATCTTTTGAGGATGATTTTGGACCTCCGGAGACAATGCAAATGTTGATAGATTGTTTTTCATAATGCGGGATGCTGTAATTGGTCAGGTGTATTCCTGGAAATTGCAGTGGAAAGCTAGTCGAAAGAATAATTACTCTTAAAACTGCAAAGTGACCTTTCTCGTAATGGCAGTGGAAGCTAGTCCAACGCTGTGTAGCATGGCAAACATGTTCGGACTCTGGAGGTTTCGCGAACACGCAAACATGTTCCGCCCGTTCGGGAATGTGTTCGTTAGTATGTGGGAGAGCAATGAGCATATATCTTCTTTTTTTTTTTTCAGTCCGGTTCCTATTCCACCGGCAAGTCGAAAAATAATACATCATGGCGAAACAACTCACGCTTCCTCCCGTCCGGCCGGAGGACCCCTGAACAGCATTGATTGCTCCACCCTAGGCGGAGGATTGACTGTYAGCTTGCCAAGAAGAACTCTACCCTCTCAAACCTGCCCATGCAGGTCTGCCAGAAATAACAATCTCACCTAGAAAGAGTACCTCTCTTACTGCTGTTTAAGCACACTGTCCRCTACATCCCTCCCCCCCWAAAATGCTATGTACCCCCTGACACAGCAATACCTCGTGTTTCTTTTGCGTAYGAGAAGCAGCCTTGTGTGGCTCGGGCCGGCAGGATTCCATTGATTCCCTTTCTTCACGTCATCCGTGTTTCTTCAGTTAATACTTGCTGTCGACTTGTCCTGTCCGGATCTGAATTATGCCACTCCTTCCAACTCACCCTGTCGCCACGGAGTTCAGCCACCTTGCCGTTCAGTAACCAGTTCCKGATAAACTTTGACCTGACTTCCGSCYGTTGATCCTCATCTTCCGGCCATGACAATTTGATTTTCCGCCATCTGCACAGTATCTCTGCTTGGATCATTAGCCTGGACTCCTTCCATACCTTGTCCCGTGGATTTGAACGCCCCTCAATTGTTCTGCTGCACCTTTCTTTACAGATTACCCACAGGGTCACCTTTCTGATAAGATCGAACCAAATCTTCTCCGCTTGCCGGCTCATAGTGGGGATGTTAGTAAGGAGAAGAAGTTGGATAGGCTGGTCTGGGAAGGGAGATGATAAAAGGGACTCCCACAGAGAGGATGCTCTAGACCAGTATTCTTTTGCCTCCGCACAATACCCCAGACAGTGCACTATGTCCTCTACTACTCCTGTTGAGCAGACTGTGCAGAGCTCCGAGCTGTTCGGGTTCGAGGCTCTGCGTCTGGTGTGCAGCCACTGGTTGACCGGTAGAGCAGCGTATGCAATCAGCCACTGCAGACTCCTGATTTTCACTGGTCTGATTCGTGCATATTTTTTCCAGGGGAGCTGTCCTATTTTGTTGGAGCATATATCTTTTTTAAGATTTGTTTTTTCGTTTTTTAACTGAGTACGGATCCGGGCCGCCCGGCCGACCGGCGCCCGCCCGGGGGAGGTCCCGGGCGGCCTGTCCGGGCGGGCGGCCCGGTTGGGGGCCGGGCATCCCCAGCACACCTTGTTGGCTGGTGGTTTCCAACCCCACATTGGGTGGTATTGGCGTCCCCAGGGCCTACCGGGTCCTGTGAGGCCTGTTTTTTTTTTTTGAATTTGGGACGGCCCTCTGGCCGTCGATCATCCATGATCGATGGCCAGAGGGCCGTTCGTTTTTGGAGGGAAACGGAGGCCCCATTTGAACTAGCGACTGGCTGGGCCGGCCTGCATTGGCTGTCCAAACAGGGCCTCGATAGCTGCTCCAGCCGCCTGCGTTCGTGCTGCTGCCCCTCGTCGAAGTAGCTGCCCTCGTCGCCATCGCCTGGGAGCTTCACTCGCCCGTCGTCGTCGTGTCGCCCGTCGCCCGTCGTCGTTGTGTCGCCCGTCGCCCGTCGCCAGCGTCGTCGATCGTGGTGCTCCTGCTTGCCCACATCCCCTGCCGCCCGTCAACGTGGAGTGCCGGCCTTCTTCTTCTTCTTCTTCTTCTTCTTCTTCTTCTTCTTCTCTCCTGCTCCTTCTCCGATCATTCTTCCGCCTCTTGTCTCCTCCTTCTCCCCCTGTCATCTTCTTCTTCTTCTTCTTCTTCTTCTAGTTCCGCTTGTCTTCTTCTTCGAGTTCTTCGCTGCTGCTCCTCCCCCTATCATCTTCTTCTTCTTTATCTTCTTCTCTCCTCCTCCTCCCCCTCATCTTTTTCTTCTTCTTCTCTCCTACTACTCTTCCCTCCGCCGTACCTCGCCGCCATACCCCGCCGTCATACCCCGCCGCCATACGCCGCCGTCATAACCCCACGCCGCCTCCATACCCTAACGCCGGCATAGTACATCTTCTTCTTCTTCTTCTTCTTCTTCTTCTTCTTCTTCTTCTTCTTCTTCTTCTTCTTCTTCTTCTTTTTCTTTTTCTTCTTCTTTTTCTTCTTCTTCTTCTTCTTCTTCTTTTTCTTCTTCTTCTTCTTCTTCTTCTTCTTCTTCTTCTTCTTCTTCTCTCCTCCTCCGCCTCCCACTCATCTTCTTCTTCTTTCTCTTCCCTCCTCTTCCGCCCATCTTCTTCTTGTTCTTCTTCATCTCTCGTCGTCGTCCTCCCCCTCATTTTCTTCTTATTCTTATTCTTCTCTCCTCCTCTTCCGACGATCTTCTTTTTTTTTAAATTCGCTAGCGGTAGGTCGCGAGATAAACGACAGGTAAGGGGGAAAAAAAAAAAAACTGCTCCGCTCGTCATCTTCTTCTTCTTCTTCTTCTTCTTCTTCTTCTTCTTCTTCTTCTTCTTCTCTCCTACTACTTCCCTCCGCCGTACCCCGCTGCCATACCCCGCTGCCATACCCCGCTTCCATACCCCGCCGTCATACCCCACGCCGCCGCCATACCCTAACGCCGGCATAGCACATCTTCTTCTTCTTCTTCTTCTTCTTCTTCTTCTTCTTCATCTTCTTCTTCTTCTTCATCTTCTTCTTGTTCTTCGACCACCATACCCTAACGCCATACCCCGCCGCCATACGGCCCTGCCGCCGCCGCCATCTTGTCCATCGTTTGGTAGGTCGCGTGAGACGCGGCAGGTTAAAAAAAAAAAAAAAAAAAAACCTTCCTCCTTCCCCCTACTCTCCTCATCTTCTTCTTCTGTTACTTCTTGTACTTCTCTCCTCCTCCGCC